AGAATTGTCATTTTTATTATATTAGCTCAGCCTACCCATGAGCAACTGATATTTTTCCAATTATTTAGATCTGATTTTATTTGCGTGAAAAGTGTTTTGTAATTGTGTTCATAGAGTTCCTGGGTTTGTTTCAGGAGGTAGACTCCTAAATATTTTATAATGTCTACAGTAAGTTTAAATGGAATTTCTCTTTCTATCTCTTGCTGTTGGGCTTTGTTGGTAATATATAGAAATGCTGATGATTTATGTGGGTTTATTTTATAGCCTGCAACTTTGCTAAAGTTGTTTATTATTTCAAGTAGTTTTTTACTTGATTCTCTGGGATTCTCTAAGTATAACATCATGTCATCTGCAAAGAGTGATAGCTTTGTTTCTTTGCCTATTCTAATGCCTTCAATGTCTTTTTCTTCTTTTATTGCTAAAACTAACGTTTCCAGTACAATATTGAACAACAGTGGTGACAATGGACATCCTTGTTTCACCCCCGATCTTATTGGAAATGCTTCTAGCTTGTCCCTGTTACATATTATGCTTGCTGAAGGTTTTAGATAGATGCTATTTATTATTTTAAGCAAGAGTCCATTTATACCTATGCTTTCTAGTGCTTTTAATAGGAATGGGTGTTGTATTTTGTCAAAAGCTTTTTCTGCATCTATTGAGATGATCATGTGGTTTCTGTTAGTTTTGGTGTTGATATGATGAATTATGCTGATAGTTTTCCTTATATTGAACCAGCCCTGCATTCCTGGTATAAATCCTACTTGGTCGTAGTGTATTATTCTTGTGATAAGTTGCTGTAATCTATTTGCTAATATTTTGTTTAAAATTTTTGCATCTATATTCATTAGAGAAATTGGTCTATAATTTTCTTTCTGTGTTTTGACTCTTCTTGGTTTAGTTATCAGCACCATATTTGTGTCATAAAAAGAATTTGGTAAGATTCCTTCTTCACCTATTTTACCAAATAGTATGTATAGTATTGGGATTAATTATTCTTTAAATGTTTGATAGAATTCGCATGTAAATCCATCTGGCCCTGGAGATTTTTTCCTTCATCAATGGCTTGTTCAATTTCTTTTTCTGAGATGGGGTTATTTAAGTATTTTACTTCCTCTTCTGTTAATCTGGGCAATTTATATTTTTGTAAATATATATTCATTTCACTAAGATTGTCAAATTTGTTGGCATATAGTTGGGCAAAATATTGATTGTTTCTATGATTTGTTATTTGACCCAAACATTTTTTAGGATTAGATTATTTAGTTTCCAATTATTTTTTAGTCTATCTTTCCATGGCCCTTTATTACATATAATTTTTATTGCATCATGATCTGAAAAGGATGCATTTAATATTTCTGCCTTTCTGCATTGGATTGTGAGGTTTTTATGCCCTAGTACATGGTCAATTTTTGTGTATGTGCCACATACCACCAAGAAAAGAGTATATTCCTTTCTATCCCCATTCAGTTTTCTCCAGAGGTCTATCATACCTAACTTTTCTAATGTTTTATTCACCTCCTTAACTTCTTTCTTGTTTATTTTGTGGTTAGATTTATCTAGTTCAGAGATGGGGAGATTGAGGTCCCCCACTAGTATAGTTTTGCTGTCTATTTCTTCCTGTAACTCCCTGAACTCCTCTAAGAATTTGGATGCTATACCATTTGGTGCATATATGTTTAGTAATGATATTACTTCATTGTCTATGGTGCCTTTTAGCAGGATGTAGTTACCTTCCTTACCTCTTTTGATAAGATCTATTTTTGCTTTTGCTTTGTCTGAGATCAGGATTGCTACCCCTGCTTTTATTACTTCAGCTGAAGCATAATATATTTTGCTCTAGTCTTTTACCTTTTATTATATTCCTTGGCATTTTCAATTTGGGATCTCTTTCAGGCGGGGAGAGGTGGATTCTTTCTAGTTATTTTACCTTCAGGTTCTAAGACTTCAGGGCAGTTTTCCTTTATGATTTCCTGAAGGATATTGTCCAGGCTCTTTTTTTCATCATGATTTTCAGGTAGGCCTACGATTTTTAAATTGTCCCCTCCTGGTAGGTCAGTTGTTTTACCCATGAGGTATTTTACATTTTCATTTATTTTTTCATTTTTTTTGTTTCTGTTTGACTGATTCTTGCTCTCTCATGGAGTCATTAGTTTCCATTTGTTCAATTCTAATTTTTAACATATTGTTTTCTTCTGTTAAATTTTGTACTTTCTTGTCCAATTGGTCAATTGTGTTTTTTAGGGACTTGTTTTCTTCAGTGTACTTTTTTGCCAATTGGCCAATTGTACTTTTTAAGGACTCCTCTACCTCTCTCATTTGACTTTTAAAATCCTTCTTGAGCTCTTCTAAGAAGGGTTTTTGGGCTTCAGACCAGTTCATATTCCCTTTTGATGTTGCAGATGTGGGTTTGATGACAATGTTGTCCTCTTCAGAATTTCTGTCTTGATTTTCACTCTTCTCATAATATGAATCTATCGTACCTTACTTTTTACTCATGGTGTTTCTTTATTCCCTGGCCTTTAAAGAGATTATGCTCTCCTGCTGGGTAGCAGAGGGCACTGACCCAAGCTTCTTATGTTGGGAGCCTAGGTCTTAGTCACTAATTTTGCATGCGCCTCTTACGTTGGCAATTGGAGGCTCTAGGGTTCTGGCAGCTTACCTGGTGTTAGGCTGGAGTCAGAAAGGCTGGGACTTTCAGGCAATCTGGGTTGCCTGCTTTTCCTTTCCTTTAGCTTTGTTCAACTGCTTTTATATGGATGCTGCCGGGTGTTTATCTGCCTGGGGCCCCTTGCAGTGCTGCCTCCCTTAGTTCTGTTTAGGCACTGGGAAACTCCTTTGCTGTAGAATGCTGAGGCACCTGGTGGTTTTCTGAGCTGGTTTCCACCAGTTCCCCCACCCTCACTGAGGCACTCTGAGGTCCAGCTGTTGGTGTTCGCCTGCTCGACCACCTGGGCTTCGGGATCTCCTTCTGGTTGGCAGTTGGAGTCTGTAGGGTTCTGACAGCTTACCTGGTGTTGGGCTGGAATCAACAAGACTGGAGCTTTTGGGCAACTCTAGGTTGCTTTCTTCAGCTCCTTTCAGACAAATGCTGCAGGGTGCTTCTCCACCTGGGGCCCTTTGTAGTGCTGCTTCCCTTATTTTTGCTGAGGCACTGGGAGATCTGTTTGCTGTAGAATGCCGAGGCACTAGAATCTCCTCCTGCTGTGCAAAAGTGGGTCTTTCCACTAGCTGGCTGGGTGACTCCTGGTTCCTTACTGCTCCCCTTCCCCCAGGTTAAGAGGGGCCTTTCCCGTTAATCCCTCTTGCTTCCTGGGCTACTGCACTGCTGCACCCCGTCTTTCTTCTGGTTCAGCTGCTCCAGGGTTTTTTCAGGGGTGATATTTTCTGGGTTTTCAGAGGTTGATAGGGGAGGGTGAAAGCGACTACCTTTTTACTCCGCCATCTTGGCTCCTGGAAGTGGAAGTCAGGAAAGACTTGCTAAGCACCAATTATGTGCCATGCTCTATGCTAAGCACTTGATAAATATTATCTCAAGGGAGAGCAGCTGAAGAGAATTCTGAGGCTCTGGTCACTAGTACTTTATCTATGGAAACTTTTAAATCAATTACATTATTACCTTTAGTCACAACTGGTCACTTCTGAGCAAAAACCTCAGCTCACAATTGGTTAGCTGGGAAATGACTGTGCTACTGTGGTAAGTGCTGAAAATAGGGAGAGGAATGCCGTGTTAAATCCACTAGTCAGGTCCCCACATGTTTTTAGGACTCTGTTATCTTCCCTAATCTCTAGCACATTGCTTTGCATACAATAGACACTTCAGAATGTTACTTGTAGTTTATTTCAATCCAATGCCCTGTCTTCAAAGATGAGGAAATCTGAACCAAGAAAGGTTCTACAACTTTCCCAAGGTTGCTATGGCACAGGTAGAAAGTAGCAGACTTAGAATTCAAGGCCATGCCTTCTGACTCTAAGACCAATGCTCTTACAGTGACTGCCGGTGAAAGTCCAACTCTCTTGTTTGTGGATCTATGTAGGCACTTTGAGTTTTGCTTTCCCTCAAGAACAAGATTGGCAGAATTGTGGGATTGTGCTGGTGCCCATGTTATAAATTACCTGGGAAGTCTTGCGTCTGCATTCCAAAGGAAAGGTCGGGGATGGAAACATATGCTAGGATCATCCTTAGTAGGACTGTTCAGTCAGTGCTTTGTTAGCATGACCTTCAATAATTTAGAACTCTGAGCTCACTGACAGTAGGTACTGGGTCTTTTTTCTTCTGCCTTTCTTTGTAACTCTAGTGTTTAGCATATAGTAAGCACTTCGTAAATGTTTATTGATTGACTGACCTCTAATACCCAAGGAGACTTCAGAATTTTGTTGAATTCAGGTCTGTATATCTGCTTCTGGTGGGGAGAACAGGAACCAGACCAGCTAACTGTGGGGCAGCTTATCCCCAGAAGTCTGGCCATAGGGTAATGAATATTTTTGGCCATAGTAACTAAATGAGTAGGAAAGGGATTTCCTCAGGTTGAATAGTTAAGCCAATAGGAACTTGACATACATGGAAAAGCAATCAAGCACCATGTTATTGTTAAGTGTTCTCCAGGCTAAATAATCTCAACTCCTATAACTATTTCTGGCAGGTCCTGTAAAGATTTAATGATGTTTTCACCTTCATCTTCCACTGTCATAGAATGTTAGACCTGGAAGGGACCTTCTCATCTCTTCCGGCTATCTCATTTTATAGAGGAAGAATCTGTTTGAGGCCTATAAAAGGGAAGTGAATGGCTTGAGGTCACACAGCTAGTAAGAAACAAAGGCAGATCAGAAGCCAAGCCTGACTCCAAATCTAATACCCTGTTTCAGCAGACTGTGTTCTGCCACCTTGGGAAAGGGAGGAGCATAGAGGGAACTTCTGTATTTAGCTAGAGACTGCTATCCCGGATTTGTTTAACTAGCTTTATTTCTTTGAAACTTTGGGTAGTGGCTTATCAGAAAGGAGAACAGGAATAAAAACTGTTCTCATTTTCAGCAAGACTCCAAATTCTGACAGATTACACATTCCTGCTTTTGAAGGTAGGTGCTTGTTTTTTTCTGATCTTGCTTCTTTCAGGGTCTTATGGTATGGAATATAATACAGAGAGCCTCAGAGGACTAATGCTCCTGCTGTTCCTGAAGTTAGCCACTTGTGATTTCTGTAAACTTTATTGATAGGGTATAGCTTTTGTCTAATTTAGATAGGAGATATTTGACTATTTGATTCATCTAGATTGAAGTGATATCTAATTCTATAGAACCACAGAATCACAGAATATTAGAATTGGAAATAACTAACCTCTGGCCCTCCCTGACCCATTTTACAAATAAAGTCAGTTTAAGGGTTTGCAGATTATTGATAGATTTCATTAAACCAATTCTGATAAATTCAAATCTATGTCAAAACACTTTCTGGAGGTTGAAAGTTGTTCAAAAAACAATTAGACTTCATAGTCTTTATTCTGCTTTTCTTCAGGAATATCAGTTCAATTTCATTTATATAGGCACATCACTAAAAAGAAGGAAAGTCAAAGCTTCTCTAGAGCTAATGAATAGATTATAAAACTGATAGAAAAGTCAAAATAGTCTTCTCTAGACACTTTATTGTGCTAACTAGTAAAATCTTAAAATGAGAGGAAAGAGGACCAGCAAAATTAAGATCTTCAAACAAGGGAGAAAATATTCTTAGATAATCATAATTATAGTTCACAATTCTATAGTTCATTGATGTGCTTTCTTTTCAAAAACCCTTTGAGGAAGCTAATTTTATAGTTAAGTAAACTGAAGTTCTCTGTCACATAGCTAATGGTAGAACCGGAGATTCAAACTCAAGTATTGTCCTCTGTGTTTTTTCTACTAGCTATGTGATTAGGGCAACTTAAATAGTCTCTTTGAACCTCTTTCTTTATCTATAAAATAGTACCACATATTTCACCAGATTGTTTCAAAGAGGAAATGAGATATTTTGTAAAAGGTATCTTGAAAACCTGAAAGCTCTAAAACAAATATGAGATATTTAAATATGAAATATGAAAACAAATATGAGATATTTAAATATAAAATATGAAAACAAATATGAGATATTACTGTTACCACAATTATTACTGTTATCTTGTTCCCATCTTTTTTGATGGAGTTTTGACCAAAACAATTCAAATATGTCACTATCCAACTATTATTTTTCAATGTTTAATGTTCTGTGAGTGATTGCACAAGGGGATAAAAATGGCTACTTTTTTTTTTTGGCAGTTGAATAAGAGCAGTGGAATTTAAGCTCATCTTCTGTAGAATCATTGAAAATATCCTTCAGACAGGGGCAGCTAGATAGCACAGTGGGTAGAGCACCAGCCCTAGATTCAGGAAGACCTGAGTTTAAATCTGGCCTCAGACACTTGACACTTACTAGCTGTGTGACTCTGGGCAAATTACTTCACTCCATTGCCTCGCTCCAAAAAATAATATCCTTCAGACAAATCTAATAGCAGACAGGGATAACATATACCTTTTTCCTTTATCTACCTAGTTTTAATTTCTTCTGCTAAGTTTCTATATTTTGATATTTTTTTTAATGTAATTTGGAGATGATGAATAGTTGGTTAAAACTATTTTAGAATGTTGATCTTAAATTTTGATGGATCAATGTCATGTGTGACAGTTGCAGGCAATAGCTCTCTCTATAATGATCAGCTGGCACTGGAATTTGTTGAATTCATAAGGCATAAGGTATAGGGATTTTCTTGCATTGCTCTGATTTCTGTTTCCAATTTTTCCTCTATCTCTCTTACTTGATTTTCAAAATCCTTTTTGAGCTCTTCCATAGCCTGAGACCAATTTGTATTTTTTTGAAGGCTTCGGATGTAGGAGTTTTGACTTTGTTGTCTTCTTCTGAATGTGTGTTTTGATCTTCCTTGTCACCACAGTAACTTTCTATAGTCAAGAGTTTTTTTTTTTTTTCCATTGTTTGCTCTTTTCCCCAGGCTATTACTTGACTTTTTAACTCTTTGTTAAGGTAGGGCTCTGCTTCCAAGGTAGAGGGCGCACTGTCCCAAGCTTCAGGGTTTTTGTGCAGTTGTTTTCAGAGACACTTCTAGGGACTTGTAAGTTTCCAGTTCTTCCAAGGTGGTATGATCTAAGGCAGGCCTGCACAGTATTTAAGCTGCGGGCCGCTTATGGCCCACACTGCTTGTGGCCCGCCAAAAGATTTTGGGCAGCCTTCGACAAATGAAGATGATGTAACTACAGCTCAGGTCATCCTCAGGTCCCAAACCTGTTTTCAGACAGAGCTAATAAGGCTCACTGGCCCTTGAAGAAGAAGTGATTAAGAGGCCTAAATACTCTTGGGCAAACCTGTATAACATACTGCCTGCCAGCTGTGGGCAGTGTGTTGTGCAGGTTTGATCTAAGGAGAAGTGTTTACTACTCTCCTGGCCTGTGCTCTGGTCTGTGAGTGACCACTAGCACTCTTTTCTGTCCTGGAACTGTAAGGAGGGTTCCCCCTCCCTTGTGGCCACAAACTCTGCTATGCTAATGTTCCTTCTTGCTCTGGGACTGCCACCCAGGCCTGCAACCCGGATCCAAGTATGGGCAAGACAACAGAGTCCTGTCCCAGCGCTAGCCAAAAGACCTCTCTAATCTCTTTCTGACAGTAGTGTCTGTGGGCTGAGCATTCCAGAAGCAGCAGCTGCCACTGTCATTGCTGATTCAGTCACTCCTAAGGCCTGCTCCTAGGTTTGCTAGGGCTGGGGCTGTGCTGGACTGCGCTCCACTCTTACCCAGGTATGATACACCTTTCCTGCTGCCCTTCCAAGTTGTCTTTGGTGTCTGTGGGCTGAGAGGTCTGGAAATAGCCAACACTGCCTGTGGTTCAGTCGCCTGGAGGACGGCTCTGGGTTTGCTGTGCTGGGTCTGTGCCGGTGCACCCTGTACTGAACTGTGCTTCTCTCTCACCCTGGTGCAACAGACCTTTCCTGCTGCCACAGACCTTTCCTGCTGCCACAGACCTTTCCTGCTTTCCCTTCCAAGTTGTCTTGGGCTGGAAATTTGTTTCACTCCATCTTTTTGTGGGTTATGCTGCTCTAGAATTTATTTAGAGTCACTTTTTAAAAATATTTGGAGGGCTTTGGAGGAGAGCTCAAGCAAGTTCCTGCCTTTACTCCACCATCTTGGCTCCATCCTACCATCCCCACTTTCACTTGTTTTCAGCCTCTCCCTGCCTACTGGTCCATTACCTACTGCCTACAAACATGCTGGTGTCTCACCACCCTGGAAAAAAAAATACCCTCACTTGATTATTCCATCCCCTCTATTGTCCTATGTCTCTTCTGCTCTTTGTAGCTAAACTCCTCAAAAAGGCCATCTGGTAATAGGTGATTCCACTTTCTCTCTTCCAATCTCTTCTCTTTTTTAAAAAAATTAATTTATTTATTAACAAAATTTCCCCAGTTACATGTAAAAACAATTTTTAACATTCATTTTTAAAAGTTTGAGTTCCAAATTCTCTCCCTTCCTCCCTCCCCTTCCCTCTATTGAGAAGGCAAGCAGTTTGATATAGGTTATACATGTGAAGTCATATAAAACATATCTGTAATAGCCATGTTGTGAAGGAAAACATAGACCAAAAAAAAAACCTCAAGAAAATAAAGTTTTAAAAAAAAGTATGCTTCATTCTATATTCAGACACCATCAATTCTTTCTCTGGGGATGGATAGCATTTTTCATTATAAGTCCTTCAGAATTGTCTTGGATCATTGCCCTGCTGGGAATAGTTAAGTCACTCATAGCTGATGATTTTACAATATTGCTGTTACTTTGTACACAGTACATTTAACTTTGCATCAGTCCATTCAAGTCTTTCCAGGTTTTTCTGAGACCATTCTCCTCATCATTTCTTATAGTACGATAGTATTCTATCATAATCACATATATAAAAATAACTTGTTCAGCCATTCCCCAGTTGATGGGCATCCCCTCAATTTCTCATTCTTTGCTGGAAATGAGCTACTATAAATATTTTCATATACATAGGCCCTTTTCCTTTTTTTTTTTAATCTCTTTTGGGATACAGATCTAGTAGTGGTATTGCTAAGTCAAAGGGTATGCATGGTTTTATAGCCCTTTGAGCATAGCTCCATATTGCTCTAGAGAATGGTCGAATCAGTTCACAACTCCACCAACAACCAGGCATTAATGTCTCATTTTTCCCACATCCCCTCCAACATTTGTCATTTACCTTTTCTGTCCTATAAGCCAATCTAATAGGTATGAAGTAGTACCTCAGAATTGTTTTAATTTGCATTTCTCTAATCAATAGTGAGAATATTTTTTTTCATAAGGCTATAGACAGATTTGATTACTTCACCTGAAAACTGATCATATCTTTTGATCATCTATAAGTTGTGGAGTGGCTCTTGTTTTTATAAATTTGACTCAGTTCTCTATATGTTTGAGAAGTGAGGCCTTTATCAGAGAAACTTGCTTCAATTTTTTTTTCATAGTTACAATTGCTAACTGTATTTCCCTCCATCCTATTCCCTCCATTTTCCACTCTCTTCTTAACTCTTTACAATCCAGCTTCCAAATCGAAACTGCTCTCCCCAAAGTTACTAATGCTATCTTAGTTGCCAAATCCAGTGGCCTTTTTTCACTCCTCATTCTTGATCTCTCTGCAGTCTTTGATACTTTCACTCTTTCCCCCCTTGATATTCTCTTCTCTCTAGTTTTTCCTCCTACCTACATGACCACTCCTCTGCCTCCTTTACTGGATCCTCTTCCAGATCACACCTTCTAACTATAGGTGTCCCTCAGGATTCTGTTTTGGGATCTCTTCTTTTTTCCCTAAATACTACTTCATTTGGTGATCTCGTTTGGAACTGTGGGTTTATTTACTATCTCTGGGCTGATGATTTTCAGATATATCTATCTTGCCCCAAATACTCTGCTGACCTCCAATCTCACATCTCCAGCTGTCTTTCAAACATCTCACATATATGTCCCTTTCTTTCCTCTAACACTGCCACCACTCTAGTGCAGAACTTCATTAT